ATATAGATAGCTTATCTATTCTATGATGTAACCTCTCTCTGGAAAACATGTGCAATCTAACCTCATTCCATCATCTCGATATACTATTTGTATTACTCTCTGTCTATATCACACGTGTCTCTATATATAACATCTTCTCTCTATAACTTATCACAACTATACGGGCTTTGGTCACTGATTAAGGATATAAGTTGTATGGGCTAAGTAGCGGAGATAGAACACATTATACCAATGCACAGGATTGGGATAAGAATACTTCAGAGTTTATGTGCCGGAGAAAGGCTTCCTTGACTGAGAGGTTCATTATTTTTAAAAAGAGTACTGACGAAAACTGAATAAAATTTGAATCTTTCGCCATTTTGCAAATCTCTGCGTCAGATTTTGTCACAAGAAATTGTGTTATGCTCCACTGAATGTCGAAATTTTGCATGGGATGCCGTAGAGGCGAAATCGCTTAGACAAGGTGTCTCAGAGTTGGAACCGGTTGAATTTTTCCTAACCGGATCGGACCGGTCAATTTACCGGCCGGTTTAATGCGTAGTTCAACCGGTAAAAAACCGGTCAATTCCATAGCAGATTAAAGTCCAGATTTTGTGAAAAACCGATTTTTTGCAGAAAGCTAAGCTTATGTATTTTCAAAATCTTCTTTTTATGGTTATTTCAGTATTAACGTGAGGTATTGAGCACGAAGTTCAACCCAATACGAAACGAAGAAAAATTCGCGGACTAATTTCTAATGGTATATGAAACTCAGTAGGAAAAACAATATAGATTAATCACGTTTTAATGGAGAAAAAAACTTTTTTTTCTGGCTAATATTTCATGAAGAAGGAAATGTTTTCGGATGAATGTTTTCGAAATGTGAAAGAAAATAATGGGAGAAAATTTTAACCTGTGTTCATCTATATCCGAAATTAACCAATGATAGGACAAATGTAAAATGAATTAATAGATCATTTTTGGATCTACTGCCTTTTTTCAACCTTCCTTGGGCGATTCCAGTTGACATCTCGAACTTTTGTTATACAGTAGTCATCTTTCGCTTGTGATTCGAAACCGACAGCAACCGGTCGGTTGAAGTGTAGTTAAACTGTTAAAAAAGCCGGCAAAAAACCGGTTGTTAACCGACCAGTTGAAAAGTTCAACCGGTCCGGTTCCAACTCTGAGGTGTCTTCGTTGCATTTCATTGCAAATCTTGGTTAGATCTGGATACTGATACCTCGAATGGTTCTGGGATATTTTCGACACAAAAACATCGTTTTGGCAAAAAAAAGTTTTCGAAGTTTTATCCATTGGCAGCCATGAGGTGAAAATTTCGACAGTCCCATAGTCTGTTTAAAAGCCTTTTGAAAGGCGCATATCTGACATGACTTTTCATTCAGATCACAAATATAAAGTTCATTCTGATCGACAAAATTATTTTGATCGTTACAAAGTGGTGATATTTTAGAAAAAAGTTTGTTCTGTTTACTTTAGTGCAGCTCCAGTCCCATATCGACGTCTGTCATCCTGTATAAGATAAGAAAACAACCCTCCGATACGCTTTTCAAACACGTCGAGTTGATCAATTTTTTTATACTCTCGAATGAAAGATAGCATAAATTTAAGTGCTGAAACATGAAACAGAAATCTGCAAAGTACAAAAAACAATTTCGTTATGAACAGTTCGAAACATTCCCCTGGTGGGTCAAAAACAATAATTACAGCAAAAGAACGATCAGCATCAGAAACGGTTGTGCTATCTGTTGTTATTTGATTGATATTTTCAGAGCTCGTCTTCGGCGAAATGAAGTTTTCCAGCCTAGAACAAAGGATCCTGCCAGATTTAAAAATGTGAAAGTACCAGAAGACTGAATAGGATATTCGACAGAGAATTTTATTGCATATCTAATCGTCATATAATTTTTAGTTTGAAACTATGATCTTTTCTCAAATCAAGATCTATTTCTAGAATCCATTTAGCCAGAGACACAGTGGACAATCAGGCGGACATCGGGGGAAAAATCGAAAGCGAGATTTTTCAAGATCTGAATAGTGCAAGATATACACTATTGAATGGCCGATCTAATAGCGAAAAAATTTTGAACCAAATGCATAACATGACCGAGAAAGCCAAGTGTCAATTTTTGGCTGACTTTTCGTAAGTTCTATAAAAAACTCTTTTTTCCTGACAAGAGTAAACACATTTAAAATTTGAAAGATATATATTCTGAAAGCTAATTGTTTGGGCTATCGACTGGTGAAAAAAGGTCTCAGGTTGCCTCTCTCCTCTGTGAGAGAAGTTAACTTTTTATAGTCCTCAGAATCTCTTGTAATGATGATCACTACGTAAAAATCATACAACATGGAACATTCAATTTTTGATCGGTGAATATTAATTTAATAATGCAATCAGCCTAATCATTAGGCAATTTGTGATATAAAGATGTTGTTTTTTTCGATCTGTTCAACGGCACCGTCAGCACTTAGGGAGCATTTCAAAATTCTTTACTCTCTTACTTCCTACTTTACTCCTTTTCTTCTTTACCTTTTTCCTTCTTTACTGTCTTTTAAACAGTCTTTCATTCAGGAGCAAAGAAGGAAAAAAGTAAAGAAGTAAAGTACAACAGGAGTAAAGCAGGAAATAAGAGAGTCAAGAATTTTGAAATGCTTCCTTACCACTTTACGTGGTTTCTTGTAGGCCTGCAGTTCACGTTTCGTTCTTTGAACGTGAACACTGAAGCACTGATATAGAGTGCTTTTAACGCTCTCTTTCAGAACACTTCCGTTGTTATTCTGCCTTTTATACTCTTTGTACGGAAGTACTCGATTTCGTTGACTTTCATCACACCATTCAGAATACATCCGTCTCCATGACTCAGGTTTTATCAACAAATGGGGGAAAGTTATTAAATGTACCCTATCTTGCATAAACATCTTTAGCAAACAATTGAAAAATAAATAAATTTAGTTGCTCGGTGGGTTTTGTAAGTATCTTATCTCGTAAGTTAGAAAGTAATTCACGGAATTATAGAATTCATCATTTACTAAGTTATATTATAAATATTAGACAAATTTATTACATTGTATAATTGCTACATAATATAATGATAATATAGTTTGCTCATGATGACGTACCTCTTAAACAATCAAAATAGACGCTGACATCATTTATTTTGAGTTGGTTTTGTCCAACATGTAAGTATCTTTTTTATGAGATTAAAGTCTGGTTTTCCGCCTTTAAACTTTTATCTGCATAAACATAAGTGTATAGACTCGGCTAAATGTAAATGTGGGAATGGAAAGGAGGATGTTGAACATTACTTTCTGCAGTGCCGTCTCTATCACAATGAGAGACAAAATCTGAAACACGAACTACATTTTCTGACCACGATTACAGTCGACACGCTATTGCTGAATGATCTTAATCTAGACGATGTTTCACTTCCTTTTGTTTTAAAAGTAGTTGTATTTTACGTTAAACAAACTAACAGATTTGATGATTAGCTAGTAGAACGTTAATAAGTTTTAATAAAATTTAAATTAGTCCACGCCACCTTTCTCCATCTAGTCTATGTTATTTTCGCTTTTCTCGACGTTTTTAACTTTTTTATATATTATGTCACTGTTCATCCTCCACCTGTTACACTTTATCACTTAATGCAGCCTATATTATGCATGGCCTAAAATGGTTCGCCGCTGGCCTTATTATTTACATAATAAAGATATAAATCAACACGTAAGTAGTAACGAAAGAAATGACTCACTTCATTTCTGTTTCGTGACAGAAAAAACAAGATATTACATATTTACGATAGTAGCTGACTTTTTTTCCGCTGTAACTAAATCGGGTATAATGGAAAACATAAACAGTATAACAAATTAAAAATCTGTGCAATCACTCTATGTAATAATTATTTATGCAAATAAATTATTTTAAAGTAAAAATCTATCTGAAAAAAAAATTTATTTGCAAAATTGCAAAATTTAATTTTTCCCCGTCTGTTGATAAAACCTGGGTCATGGAGACAGATGTATTCTAAATGGTATGATGAAAGTCAACGAAATCGAGTACTACTTCCCCACAAAGAGTATAAAAGGCAGAATAACAACGGAAGTGTCCTGGAAAAAACCGTTAAAAGCACTTCAGATAACATGTCTATGTTAAACGAAGAATTCGGGAGCAATGACCAGGAACTAGAAATTATTCAACAATTGTCAAATCAATGTAAGTAAGCGTGAGTTTTACTCGTGTGCACGTCTATGAGGAATGCATTGTTAATCTTAAATCTCGGCATGCAACAGACTGAATAAGTTTACCGTTATAGAACAAGGAAGCAGTTTAAAATTTATATAAATCGAAACAAACTAAAGTAGCCATAATGATGCAATCAAAATATTTAACGTTAGAAAAGTTATTAGAAAACTTTTTTCTTGAAGATATATTGGATGGTAAATATTATTGTTCAGAATGTCAACAAATGACACAGGATAAACAAAAATTAGATTTATGTCGACCATTACCAACAATATTCGTTACACAATTCAAACGTTTTCCATATGTATGCATAATGACGAACGAAAGTCTTCTATGACTTTCTAACAAGTTGGAGAAAACCTTTAAGATTTGTTTGTGGAAGAAAGAAAGAATCAAGAAACCAGTTTCGTTATATTTAGAATGATGAATAAATTCTATTTGTTTTATCATTCCTTGATCTTTCAAATGGAAAGAGAATTTTCGTGTTGACGAACGAGAATAAAAAAGATTTTTATGATAACAATATGGGTCACATCAAAAGAAAGTAGAGAATTTATTAACCTTAAAGATAATATCGGTTTTTCCCCAAGAAGCTATAAAATTCTTATATTTAAACGCCAATTAATAATTATTTGCATTGTCTATGTTTGTCTAGCCTAAGAATTACTTTACTCTTTTTCTGTTTCTCTTCAAAACTCTATTTTAATATTTTACATAAACTCATAAGCCATATTTGCAGATTTTTTATTATACACTCATAATTATGTCAAAAATCAATGTTCATTTCTCATCATTGAAAGGTCAAAAATTTAACAGCGTTTTCGAACCGGGTTTTGGTTTTGATGATATCATTAGAGTTGTTGAAGAAAAATTAGGTGGTGATGGATACCGCTTGGTTGTTAGTGGAAAAGAATTTACTAAAGAAACATTTAATCAACATAAAGATCAAATTAAAAATTTAACAACAATTTATGTATGTCAAAATTTGAAAGGTGGATGCGATTTAATAGACATTGATACACATAAAAAAACAATTTTAACAGATTTAGGCGATGAGTTACGACGACGAATTGTATTACCTGAGCTACAAGAATGTATGATATGTATGAGATCAAGATTTTGTCATAAATATTGTTGTACGTCATTATGTAAAAGATGCTTTTGTGATAACTTTGTCCATTCAGAATATAAATTAAAATGTTTAAAATGTGATCAAAATTATCCGTTGGATAAATGTTTTAAAACACAAGCATTAATATTATCATTGAACCAATTAGAGGAATCATTATTGATGGCACGAAATATTGATTTTCAAATATGTACATGCGGTTCATTTGCGATAAATTCAACCATGTATTCACAACAACAATGTCAAGAATGTCAACGGTGGTTTTGTTTTTTTTGTAATCGTGATTGGGATTCAAAACCAAAAATGGAAAATACACGTTTTACATGTAAATCAAATTGTTACTGGGAAACAAAAATAACATATCAATTAGTACCACTGACTATGAATAAAAATATAGAAGTACCGAATCGTAGAGTTTGTCCTCGATGTACTCAGTGTGGTGCCTACGACAATCAATGTAAGTATCATACATGCAAGTGTGGACATCAGTTTTGTTTTATATGTCTGGAATCAAAACCAGAATGCATACGAAAATATAAATCAGAATATAATCGACCATGTGCTAATGTAAAAAAACAAGATTATACAATATTTCCAAGAATGGCTACTCAGTAAAAAAGCAGTATGATAAGGACATCATATTTCAAACACTGTTCTATTTATTCTAACTTTATTGTATTTGTTTTTGTTTTAAGCCTTTTCACAATATGGATTGTAAAAATAGATAGTGCAGGTTATCCAACCATATGTATAACTCAATATTAAAACTTTTCGAGAAGTTCGTAACTTTTGACGGGAAGGAACTGTTAATCACAGATTTGAGTAATGTTTTTCATTTGTGGAATTTAACTCAAGACGTAAATTAATTGTGCAGTTTTTTGACAAAAATCTGAGATTCAGTCGTTCTCTTATGATCTCAGAAATGCGTTTTTAAATTATACGAGGCTTAATGGGATAAGAAGGAAACGCAAAAAGAAAGAAAAAATGTTTGGTCTTCATTTGCTCGTGTCTTTCTTTATTTTTCTATTATGTCAACAACATTAACAGAGGTATTAGCAATAATAAATTCTCTTGTATAATAACACGTATTTGGTTTTTTCCAGATTTATGATTGTTAGAAAAACACAACAATGAATTGTTTTTCTAGTTGTTACATTTCTACAACAAGAAATATATCATCGACAACCGACAAGGAGCAACCATACACCACGAAGAAAATTAAACGGGAAAAAAATAAATATTTTGCTGCAACTAATGTTCATACAAGACAAGATCAAGCAATGAAAAAACATGTAGCAAGAATTTCAAGCGCATCAAAACAACTAAAACAACAAACCAGAAATCAGTCCACTAGCCACGATAGAATTCCAGGTATGATCTTATAGTATTGAAAAGAAAATGTTCCCTGCCTATGTTTAACAGATTCCACAGAATCAAATTACAATAAGAAAAATCAAAATATTGTATCATCTTCCGAACCAATTGAAATTACTCGTCGGTCTATGTTGATGTTGAATGAACTTGATTTTGAAAACTTTCATAGAAATGGTAAAAAAATGTTATTTTTTCAAGTTTTTTGCAGAAAACTCACGTGGACAGAGTACGAAAATAAGTCAGAGAACCGATAAATTTGCTTTGAGAAGCTATGTCAGATCCTAACTAGAAAGGATCCATACTCATTTGTTTTCAGGTTTTTTGTAGGTGAAGAAAAAACACGAAAAGGGATCAAGTCGACTACTCCGCCACCACTGTCATCGTCATCACCATCGCGAGCACGCATATCTCAACAGCAAATGAATCTCGAAGAAAGCTTGAATCCCATTTCAAGGCATGTTCAAAATGAAAAACAAAATATATCATTGTCATACAATGTTTCAAGTAGTATCGTCGAAAACAAACATATTGATTCAATAAAATTTCAAGCAGAATCGGGTCTATGCGGGTTAACAAATTTCGGTAATACATGCTACATGAATAGCGCACTTCAATGTCTCAGCTCCATACCTCAACTGACCGATCATTACCTGAACTTAAACGACGATAAAAAGGAATCCATCACTGCTGTTTACAGTCGATTAATGAAACAAATGTGGTCTGAACCACCATTTTCATCAGTAACTCCAATCGAATTAAAATTATTAATTGGACAGCATGTACCAGTGTTCAATGATTATAAACAGAAAGATTCACAACAGTTTATGAACACGCTATTAAATATGCTAAAAGATGAAGACGATATAATCGACAAATTATTTTCTCTCTTCATAAAATCGGCCGTAACATGTCCCCATTGTAAGACTACGAATGAACGAATAGAACCAATGACATTTCTACCATTACCAGCACTATCATCACCATATAATGTGAAATTAAATGATTTATTACAAGATTTTTTTAAAGAAAATATATTGGATGGTGATTACTATTGTTGGAAATGTCTAAAAATGTCGACAGTCAAACAAAAGTCCGATCTTTGTAGACAGTTACCACCAGTGCTGATTATTCAATTGAAACGTTTTCCTTATAACGAATCCAAAGAAAAATTTGATACATTCATCGAATATCCAATTCATAATTTGAATCTGAATAGATATGTTTTAACGGAAGCAAAAGACAGACATAACGATAGTTTATATAATTTAGTTGCTGTTTCAAATCATTATGGAACTTTATCATTCGGTCATTATGTTACGTACGTCTACAATAGAGCAAAACAACGGTGGTATTCGTTTAACGACGATGTTATCAAAAAAATTAAAGAACGAGATCTAATCAATAGAAATGCTTATATACTTGTGTATTTGAAAACCCCATTTAACAATTTAAATAAATAAAGTAGTCTTTGCTAACAAAATGTGATCTTTTCATTTTTATTCCCACTATAATTCGGATAACTCATACTCCTATGATTTATTTTTCTATATGTTTTAGAGAAAAGATTTCTCAAAATGTATTTCTTTCATCAGTATTATTACGACCGTCTATCGGTGGACGATTATGAACTATTTCATGCTTTCTACAATTACAATATAGAAAGAATACTAATAATCAATGAAGAAAATAATCATCCAAGAGAAATTAAAGAAATCTATCTATTAACATTATGTCCGAAATACCGATTACATTTCTGTCTCAACAGCAATAAATATTTGAGAACAGGTATGAAATTTATACCTCACCGCGGCAAACAGTGGCTCAAGTCTCATTAGAGTGGCATTACAGTATTCTTCTCTATTGAGGCTACAGACACCGAGGCAAAATAAAAAATAAAATCGTATAAGTAAAAAAGTAATTTTGATCCTTAAGAAAGAACTAAGACAGATTTTCAGAAAGTTTGAAATCAAAAAATCATTGAATAACTGAAGTAAATTAATTAATTTTTAGTATCGAGAAGTAGAAAAAATGTTGTTATTATTGTACTAAATCGTCAATGGTTCAGTTATCACAGAAACTCATTTAACCGACTTTTAACAACAGGTAAATGAAGAAACATGTATCTTTCTGAACTTTGAACTCATTTGGATTACATTTTTACCCAGATTATCCATTTATTACTCAACAAAGATACCGTCAGGATGCTAGCAGACAAAAAACAATTCCATCTAAAGCAACAAAATCGTATGTGCATTTTCACGGAGCAAAGACTGAACTAGCAAATCAAAATCAGATCGTTATAGAACAAGAATTTAGCGATAAAGATATACAAATTATTATTTTATTCATTCAATATCTTAAATGTTGGGGTTTTTTTTCGACATCACAGAAATTATTGGAAATATCATCTTCCTCTACATTTGTATCGCCACTACAAATACAAGAAACATTAGTTAACGTTAAACGAAGACATAGCAGAACTGACAAGATTCCCAAGAACAATACAACAGGTTTATGTGGATTAATGAATATAGGTAATACATGTTATATGAATAGTGCACTTCAATGTCTCAATGCAATACCACCGTTCATTAATTATTTTTTAAATTTAAACATAATCAACAATAAAAATACAGTATCAAATGTTTATAATCGTTTAGTTAAACAAATGTGGTCAGGACAGTCAAAGTATGCTGTTCCAAGACAATTAAAACATGTTGTTGGTCAACAAGCTTCAACATTTGCAGATTATCAACAGAAAGATTCACAAGAATTTATGAATTCATTATTAAATATAATACAACAAAAAGAACATAAATCGAGACAATCGTCAGTTATAAATCAACTTTTTTCGATAAATATTCAATCATCTGTTATGTGTGATCAATGTAAATTAAGCGATTCAAATATGGAAACAACTATATTTCTTCCATTACCATTACCACAAGAAGACGGCATGGATTCATCATTAATGACACTTGAAGTTTTAATTGAAGATTTTCTCAAAGAAGATCTGTTAGATGGTGATTATTATTGTAGTCGATGTGATACAATGACAAAAGGCATACAAAAATCAGATCTATGTCTACCATTTCCAACAGTTTTAATTATACAATTAAAACGATTTCCGTTTAGTGGCTCAATAGAAAAAGTTGATACATTCATTCAATATCCAATTTATAATTTGAATCTTAATCAATATCTAACATCGAAAACAACGACGAATGATTGCACCGAAGGACAGTACAATTTAATTGCTGTATCAAGTCATTCGGGTACACTTCAATATGGTCATTATGTTACCTATGGTAAACATCATCAGACCAAAGAATGGCATCTTTTCAACGATCAATCTATTCAGCCTGTAAACGAAAAAGTAGTACTAACAAATAATGCTTACGTTTTAGTCTATTTAAAATCAAACTATCAACCGAGTTAAATGGATCTTAATTTTTGCTTGTGTGTAATAAGTACAATTTGAAAGAAAAATTAGTTTTATTAGTTAAATTAGTTTTATAAATGTATCTGTATGAAGAAATGTACTCTTCCTTCAGAGTAAAACTTGAATTTACTTCAGATTATTCTTTTGATTTTAGATTTTGTTAAATGTTTCATTTTGAAGGCTTTTTTAACTTATTCGTTACATTGAATGTATTCCATATATAGGTATGTATCTCTTTATTTTTTTAACATAACTATGACAAAATAATATTTTTCAATTTTCCTTTGAAGGTGACTTTCGATGACAAAATAAAAAATAAAAGGTAAATGGAAAACAGAAACAAAGAAAATAGAATAGTTCTTCCGTTAGTTTTATAAATGTATCTGTATGAAGAAAAGTACTCTTCCTTCAGAGTAATCTTTTCCTTATTTTACCATGCGCGGATAATAATTTTACTATTTTGAAAAGTTCTCTTGCGTATAAAAAAAGTTATACTAAGAAAATAATTAATATACTTGCGTAATTTCATCGTTTCAAAGCATTCAAAGAATCAGACAATGTTTTAATTAAATACAAATGTATCACTACTTTATAAAAAATGCACCAGACTTAGACGCTATTTTTAGAGAAGTGCGAAGAGATAAAACTATTATTTCACTATTTATGAGAACTAATAGAAAATTGTTGAAATATTGAATTTAAAACAATAAATTTCACTTGAATACGACGACCTCAAATACCTACAAAACTTTCAGTCAAAAAAGCTATATCAGACGAACAGTTCCCATATCGAGATTTTGTGAGACATTTAAGGTAAAAAGCCTCACATAACATCACACGCATCAACGTTTTTTGTAGGCACAAAAATTTTGCAAAGTAACGTCAGAAAATGTCAATGTGTTTGGTGCGTAAAATATTATTGTATGTAATTACAACAATAAAGCTTTACGCGGTATTTCTCAGACAATTACCGGACAAGTTCATCAAATCCACCCACGGCAGATCGGTCCTCTTCAAGGTACGGGGAACCACTTGGAAAAATCTCTAAATAAATTTTCAGTGGTAAAGTACCATTTATATAAATCTAAGGTTGCACAGATTCCACTTTTTCAAATTATACGCTAGATATGATGACTCATCTCATGACGCGAAAGAAATATATTCTGTGACAAAAGACAAAATTATAGTTTTTTGTGTTTATTTTTGCCTGAAAAAAAAAGAAACCGCATTTACGAACCATGGATTTTCTGACGTTGCGTTAGTGTGGCTAAAAAAGTGTCGAGAAACGCATATTTCTGCAAAAATCTTGAAAAAGATCGACTTAGGTCAACTTTTCAGAAATTGAAACTGTCAGAGGATCGGCATCCACTGTAATATTCAACTCGTGAGAAAAATATAAATCTATTTCGACAGTCCTGAGACATATCCCGATCGGGATACTGCATGAGTTCCCTCTTCTATGCGAACTCTAATCTATGTACTGAGAAAAGAAAAAAACTATTTAATCTCTTATGGAAAGCAACACAACTAATTAAATCATAAGATCGTGACTAGGGTAAACATTATCTTGCCATCAAAGGAACGGTCTAAGATTTATTCAGTTTCATTTCGCAGAATAATTCTTAAAATTTGCCTTTTCCATACATATGAAAAACATATTGAGGCACATCTGCAGAGCTTATGCGTGAACTTATTTACTAGTTTGTTGAGTCCTTCATAGAACGTGACACTGTGTTAATTTCGTAGAGTTTCCTTGTAATCAATCCATTTCGTAATGTCAACTTCCAGTGATCGATATCAACAATCGCCTCAGATATATAGATTTAAACTATGCCAAAACCAAGAAGATTTTGCGCATATTTCAATATTAATATACAATATACGAACACTTCAAGAATTAAAACAACGAATTATTGCCGAGTATGGTTTAACATCATCACGTATACGTTTGCTGAAATATTCTGAACCAACTCAGCGGTGGTTGTCTTTACCTGATAGTGATCAAAATCTTGAAATACGTTATTTAAATATTGCTAATAATGATTATATTAGTTACATAGAGTTGAAAAACAGACAATATGCTTATGTGAACTCTTTATCGAATGGTCATTACTATCCGCGTGGTACAACATCAATTATTGAACGAAAAGCCCCCGTTACATCAACACAAACATTAAAATTATTCGAAACGCCTAATCTAAATGCTAAGCATTATTTTTTAGATGATTTACTATTTCAAACAACAACCATTAAACTAATCAAACAAAAGGCTGCTGAACAAATACAAATACCTTACATCAATCAAAAAACTAATTTGTTCGTATATGATGATAAAAATACTAAATGGACAAAATATGATCATATTCTAGATGATTGTACTTTAGAAGAATTGGATATTAAAAATTGTACAGCCATCAGTATCAAAATAGATAAAGACATTGCTGATGATGATGGAGATAATGGTGTTACTGCTGCAGATCGACACAAGAAAGTAAAACGTGAACTAGGTATATGTGGTCTAAAAAATATGGGTAGTACTTGTTATATGAATAGTGCACTTCAGTGTCTAAATAGTATACCACAATTGATTAAATTCTATGAAACTCTAGAAGATGACCATGCTGATGACCATCCGGTAAGTGATGTATACAGTAAATTAATAAAAAGAATGTGGTCCGAGTCCGATCAGTCATCTTGTATAACACCTCGACAATTAAAAGCAGTAGTTGATAAAATTGCACCTGTATTTAGTGATCATCGACCCAAAGATTCACATGAGTTTATCAATTTTTTTTTACATGCATTACAACAAGAACAACCCGTATTAATAAATAAGTTATTCTATGGTCAAATATCATCAACTGTTACTTGTCTCGATTGTAAAAGTAAAGAATCAAGACAAGAATTAATCAGTTTTCTACCATTACCAATTGAAAATAAAACACAAATTCAAATTCATTATATTCAATATAATGGTAAAGAAGAACAATTGTCTCTAGAATTGTCTGTAAAATATAGAACAACTGTATTAGATTTAATTAAATGTTTCATTCATAAATATGTTCCTAATCTAAACAAAAATCAAATAAAACCAGTAAGATTGAATGAAGATCAAATTAGTAGTGAATACAAATTGACTAATTATTTAACAACTCTTTATGATAATAGAATAGCTTTATTTCAATTACCATCAATAGATGAAGAAGAAGAACATATGCTATGCTTATTTGTTAATTATTCTACACAATGCCAGTTTCGTCCTCCTGTATACCTTATAAAACCAAAATATAATTGTCGTTCAAGTGATTTGAGAGAACAATTAAACTCGATAATTCAACATTTGAAAACAACAATTAATGATGAAAATATGAAATATGAAGTTTCATGGACAACTATTGATAGACAGAGACAAAATTTAAACATAAATGACAACGATAATCAAATTTTATCTACCATCCGTGCAGTAACAATTAGTTTAAAGCAGTCCTACGTCGAAATATATAAATCAAAACAAACTAAAGTAGCCACAATAATGCAATCAAAATATTTAACGTTAGAAAAGTTATTAGGAAACTTTTTTCTTGAAGATATATTGGATGGTAAATATTATTGTTCAGAATGTCGGCAAATGACACAGGGTAAGCAAAAATCGGATTTATGTCGACCATTACCAACAATATTCATTATACAATTGAAACGTTTTCCATATGATAAATATTCAAATGAAAAAATAGATACATTTATTGAATATCCAATTGAAAATTTAAATCTTTATGATTATTTAATAAAAACAGATGAAATAGTTATAAATGATGATGACAGTCAATCTAGTAGATATAATTTAATTTCGATTTCAAATCATTATGGTAAAACCTTATCATCTGGTCATTATATAACGTATGCTAAAAATTATCAAACACAACGTTGGTATTCATTTAATGATGACTATAGTAGAGAAATTGCTTCTGATAAACAAACATTAATTACACAAGATGCATATATATTAATTTATATGAAACAAAATGCAGACTATAAAACGTGAAACAAGTGAAAGCAAAAGATATGATGATTCATTTCGTTTTTGGCGGTCGGAACAGAACTGTAAATGGAGAAAATAAAAACAAAAAATATTTTAAATCGTGACACATTCGTAAACGAATACCGTTATTCATTCATCTAATTTCTAATCGTGGGAACTTTCTTGAGATTCGTAGGTAATTTTTTTATAGTATATGTGACGGATGATCACTAGTGGAAGTACTGGCACGGATGCCACTTATACTGTTTCGGTCCGGCAGTCAAAAAAAGCGGCAACGCCACCGTTTACTGATCATCAAACCAAAATTTTCGTACGAGTAATGACCGTCCTTTCATAAATCTTCCATTTGTAACTCTCATGTTTTATTCATTGGTTATTGAAGCATTTTCGGCTTGTTCTGCTTGTTTAGAAAAAAGTGGATTCTTTTATTTCTTTTAGTCTCCTAAATCGTCTAGGAGACCATTGGACCATGGTCAAAATGAAAAAAGTATGAAAATAGAACAGAGTTTGGACTGAATGGAGAACGGAGTGCGAATTATTAAATTTTTTGCTATTTTGCACATCTCTACGTCAGATTTTGTCACAAGAAATTGTGTTATGCTCCACTGGATATCACAATTTTGTCTGGGATGCTCTAGGGGCGAAATTATTTAGACAATTTCTCTTCATTGCATTTCACTGTAAATCTTAGTTAGATCTGGATCGTGGTAAAGTTCATTCTAATAGACAAAATTATTTTGATCGTTAAGAAGTGGTGATATTTTAGAAAAAAGTTTGTTTAGCCTAATGCTACTCCAGTCCTATTTTGGCTACGATCTTAAAACAATGTTTGTTATTTTGTATAAGAAGGCAACACTCTAATACACTTTTCAAATACATCATTTTGATCAATATTTTTTAAACAGTCTCTCGAATGAAATATAGTATAAATTTAAGTGCTGAAACAGAAATCTGCAGAGTACAAAAAACAACGTTATGAACAGTTTGAAACATTCTCCTGGTGGGTCAAAACCAACAACTACAGCAAAAGAACGATCAGCATCAGAAACGGTTGTACTATCTGTTGTTGTTTAGTGAATTTTTTCAGAGGTCGTTTTCACATATTAATTTGTCGGCAAAATGAAAATTTTTCGGTCTAAAACAAATTTCATCAGCACAGAAATATGTGGAGAATCGAATAAGGTCGGTTTTATAAAAATATTCATTTTCGTGCGTGATATTATCCATCTGCTTGTAATTCTCACGACTGGTCTCTTAACAGATATTGAAGTTTTTAATCTGTTCTAGAACGGCATTTCACTTCTTTGCATAATCGTGGGATTGAAATCATAGAAAATATTGCATTTACCAAGAATCGAAGCTGAATACCCTTTTAAGATTAGAAAATATTACCAGCTCCTCCAGTCCGTTTCCACTTTCCGATCTAGAAATGCGTGCCAGTCGGGAAATATATTACCTTATGAACCATAAGCCGTCCATAGTGCGGCCAGTTTTTATTCTGCTGTTTAGCTGATTTACATTTGCTCTATATGAAAAGCTGAAGATCCTCTTTGATCGTTAGTTACGTATGATAGTAAAACAAACTTCTTGTTGGATCATCCCTTATTTTTATTTCCCAAATGGGAAATAAGACAGGGTATTGCCTGTTCGGAAAAGATCAATTATTTCCCGTTTGGGAATGATGTATTTCCTGATTGAAAAACAGTGCAATACTATGCTCTTCTTAACGCTCGTTTTGAATTTCTGAGTGCCAACATCTCAACCAAAACCTGATGAGAAGAAAAGAAATCGAATAATTTATTTTGCCACGTGTAGAAAGCCGTTAGATTGTCCTACCCAACGGCTAAAGTTAAAGAAAAGTTCTGTAGAAACTGTAGAGTTATTGATGTCTCTCATCACTCGACAATGGATTTTATGAAAGAAGTCCTTGCTTGAAAATGTTTATTATTGACATTCTTTGTAATGTGATCAAATCTTTAACTTTGACGAGTCATTCTAAAAACAATAGTCAAAATATCTAGGTCGTCTCAGATATGTATATTTCGTTCTTCTTCCATGTGTCTGTACTATGCAGTTCGATTGTGAAATGTGTGCTTTTGTGACAATGCTTATTTGCTGTATCGTGAATAGATAGAGAAGAGCAAATAATAGAGAGTAGATGTCTAAAAAATACAATAATTTAGATTATATACATATATTATTGCGTCTAAAATGTTTCTAGGGAAACTACCCATTGTTATGTCATCTTCAAAGTGTCATCATACAGGTTCCATAAAATCAAATCATAGGTGGCAGTGCCATGCCAAATAACATGCTCAACATTAGCGCATGAAGCCTTATGTGATTTTGAAGTCATATCCTACCAATGATCTAGAATGAAAGTCTTCGACCTTGAGAAAATTTATTTTATTTTTTATATTAAAGAGTATACATCCTGAATCTAGTTCTATTCAATATATTAAACACTCGAAGGCTAGTCAGTAGATATTCCTTACGCTTTTAGAACTCGATGACACATACTTATAATTCTGCATGCTTCCTTTTGCTTAGTCTTTTCTTTTTCTTTCTCCATCTTTCTTCTCCTTTGCTCTAACTTACAGCAAAAATGTCTTTTCGATCGGGAAAGGATTTTGATCCAACATTTTTATAATATCAGATCTACTACAAACACGTCAAATTCATCTGACACTGCATCAATCATTGCAGTTTTTCGGGCTCTCTCCAATGAAACCAACCAGAACATACGCGGAAGCGTTATAAAATGCGTTGAAGGGTTTCAAAGTGGACATGGTGAAATATTTCACGAATGGGATATATTTCGTTTTCCCAATCAGAACATATTTCCCAATGGGCAAATACATCTTTCTTGAACGAGAAATATTGCCCGTTTGGGTCATAACTGTTGAAAACGGACTCTCCTCGAACCATTAACTGTAGAAAATTATTCTTTGCAAATACTTGCCAATTTACCATCTGATTTAAAGCATTTAAACGTAAATTCTTCATCTGCTGCTTATCCGAGCTTACCAATAAGAACCATGTTTTCATTACAACTGACAAATTTAATGTTACATGTCACATCCCTGATGGATTCCGTCGAATTGTTAATTTAAACTTTTTTCATTCATACTTACTAATACATTTATTTGTAGAAAAAATACAATTAATATTTTAACAAAGATTAGGATAAATATCCTTTAGTCAAAAATTGTTTTCTCATCAGGATACAATCGATTATAACTGACGAGGGAACCTCTCGAGGTGATTAAAAGCTTTTCGACTCAGACTATTTTCATCATGTAGGGAATAGTCAGCAGTGAAAAACCCCAAGTTGGTTTGGGTCCGTGCGCCTTTTTGACGGAGATATGAGTTAATTAATGAAAATGCCATTTATAATAATTAATTAATAGCTCACGACCATGATCAGCTAGGAGTCGGAAATTTACACCACAGTTGAGGATAGATGTTGTCTACTCACTGCGACACTTTTAGACTTATAAACCAAAGCTTTTGCACGATATGAATTTTTTATGATTTAGGCAGTTTTTAGTGAAAATTCACCATTGAAAACCTAAAAACTTGTTATCACCTTTTAGATACCTCTATCGACTCAGGAAAGACTTATTTCATTTAGATATAGGTCCCTAAGAGCCGCTAAGCTTCTGCAGCGTGAACTGAGGTATTTAAAAGGTGGTAACAAGTTTTTAGGTTTTCAATGGTGAATTTTCACTAAACACTGCCTAAATCATAAAAAATTTATATCTTGCAAAAGCTTTGGTTTATAAGTCTAAAAGTGTCGCAGTGAGTAGACAACATCTATCCTCAACTGAGGTGTAAATTTCCGACTCCTAGCTGATCATGGGCGTGAGCTATTAATTAATTATTATAAATGGCATTTTCATTAATTAACTCATATGTCCGTCAAAAAGGTGCATGGGCCCAAACCAACTTGGGGTTTTTCACTACTGACTATTCCCTACATGATGAAAATAGTCTGAGTCGAAAAGCTTTTAATCACCTGGAGAGGTTCCCTCGTGAGTGTACTGCTTTGATTTAGAAAACTAGATCAACGATAAATTTTTTCTGCAACAAGTTATTTCTAAGTCTTTACGTAGTGCCACCTGGCACTCCTATTGCCGTCAACGATAAATTGAACTTGTCGATATATGATATAACATCATTTAGGTGGTATAATATGTTTCCCTCACACATTATTCTATGAAGCATAATATATGAATATTATCATCGTTCATCATTAAACCGCTCGAACTGTCTCCAATTGTTACATTAATCGTTCCTGACAAAGACAAGACAACAGTTTTATTTCCCAAATTTAGAAATTGAGTTAAGACAGGAATATTCAAATTGATGGTAACACCTACTGGTGGCGATATGATTTGTTCCTTTGCTGGAACAAAAATAGGTATTCGTAATGCTGATTGATTAACAGTGCCTATTAGATAAGTTTGGTTAAGGACTACACCGCTGTATGCTTTTACTATCATTCCATGAATTGTCATGTTAGTATTAAATGGATTGTACAATTGTATTGTAGCATTTAGTACTTTGATAAGACCAAGTAATATTCCTGTACCTGTAGCCAAAGTTACACCACTTAACATTACTTTTTTAATTAATGACGAATCACCCTGCAGTCCCGGTATTTGCGTAGTTATAGTCAATTTTTCTATAGCATATTGAAGAGAGGGTATACTTGTGCCAACACTAACATTTCCACTTGTTTCATTAAAAATTTTTCCTTCTAGTTGTACAACATTTGTGTAACCCGAAACCATTTGTGATATAAATTCTTTTGCAATTAAATGATTTGTTTGCGTTAATTGAAATTTACCATTAGCTGTTATATTTGTTTCTAATGGATATGATTCAAGATGAAAATTTTCAATTAAAATTGATCCTAATCGTACACGTTCTGGTGCAGTACTATACATATCTAATGTTAAATTACCGGCATTTATCAAATAAATATTAGACGGATTTGAAATTGTTGTTTGAACTTGTAGAATTAATGAATTTGAATTTGATTCAAGAATATCTAATTCGTTTATTTTAAGCAATGACGATACACCATCAGATGATTGAAATTGATTATAACCAACTAGACTCAGGTTATCCATTACTGGAATATTAATCAATGTTAAATTTCCCATGTTGGTAGTCGCTGTTGGTTGAGCCATACCGTTAATTGTCATGTTAAGATTGGGTGTCAACAATAAACTAGCTGAAAAATTTTGAAATGCATTATGATCTAAAATAATTAATGGATTAGATTTAAATTCCATCTGCAGTTCATCTGAATCATTTGATTTTAAATGATTAACAAGTTGACTGTCTAATGTCATTAATGCAACACTCACAAATTCATCGGTTAATTTTTTGATATAAATTGTAAAATTTATATTTGTCAATATAACATTCAATGACATTTTAATATTTGATGGAAGTTGAAATAGAGCCACAATACGACCACTTGCATAAACATTGTTTAACTTTTCATCAAATTCTAAACCAAATGCTTCAATATTAATTGATTTTATTAGTTGTCCTTGAATACCAGGGATGTGAGCGCTCATTTTCAAATCATTGACAGTAAGATCTGATGCTGTTGTCATTGTATGATTATTAGAAATGACGGTGAGAATAGACATCTGTTGTTGATTATTTAAATAATTTGAAAAAAATATTCCAGTTTCATTCAAATCGTTTAGTGCAGGTGAAATAAATCCATTCATTGTTAAACTGTTCGTACCTGGTTTTAGAGAAAGTACATCAACGTTTATTTTGCCTAGAGTAACGCTATTCATATTTATCATATTTAGCGTTAGATCTTTTAATGAAACTGTGGTAACACCAGCATTTTCAATTATTGTCTTAATTGTTAATGCAACTCCACTTCCTTGTGACGGTTGATCGCCTTCGATTAATATTGATTCAACTTGAATATCACTCAATCCGTTTAAACCAGTTAAAACAACTTCATTATCCACTTTTACATTGGAGACTGATAAAGGTCCCAAAGCAAATGAACCAGAAACATTACTTGTCCCAGAAATTCCGAATCGAATGGGATTTACTTCATTTGAAGCAATAAACCTATTGGCGAATAATTGATAAGTACTTGTATCTGTAAGAATTAGTTGAATATTCTCAAATTTCGTCTCGTATGTTGATGTTAACGAAGGTACGGTATACACTGTTATGTCAACAATGTCCAAAGTGCCGATTTCTTTTTGTTCATAGTTTAACGATGCTTTCATGCTTAATTTTTCAAGATTTAATGGTGAGTTTTTACCAAGTGGTGAGTTGATTCGAATACGCATTGTTGCTGAAAGAGTTACATTTGTATCTGTAGTAGACGGCACAAGAGTTAAATTTGTAAATTCTAATGATTCGATTAAATCTTTTTGAAATGGTGGCATCACAGTAACAAGAGAGAGACCGTTCATTCCTGTGGCTAATAATGGCAAAGAGGTCGCTTGAGGACCAGCAATAGCATTCACTTCTGTTGGTTTATTCGTAAGAAAGTTTTGAATCAATTCGTGTGCATCATTCATATTTGTCGGTCTCAACTGTCCTTTGAGTGGAATCAAGTTTTCTTTTGGTACCAGAATGACATGTTCTATTGATTGAACAACACCCAATTTTCTAGACATGAATTCTAAACTAAATGTCAAATATCCTGAAATTAAAATTAGTAATTATTTCAATGCCATATTACTAAAATTTATACATACCTAGATCCATGGTAAATATTGAAGGATTATCAATTTGTATTAATAAATCTAAATTAATTTGTTTTTCAGTTGAATTTTCCAGACTAAACGTTTTTAATTGTACATCTTTTAAACCGTTTAATGCTTGAATAGTAACTTGTTTTTCAAATGGAATATCAGGATAATGTGGCATACTTGAACTGATCGGTTGAATATTAGCTTTTGCTGTTAAGTACCATTGAACTTTCTGTTCAAATATTAAATCTCTTACAAACGAATTAAACGCCTTTATATTTGTTACACTAAATTGAGTATCAATAATGGATATTGATGATTTACCTGATGTTTTGATTGGTATATCACTTTTAATTAGACCAATGGTAGTGAATTTACTCGTATCCTTATCCATAGCTTGAATAGTCAAAACCATTGGTTCGATTCTAGTTGATATACTACCAGTATTTGTTAATTCTAATGTTGAATTAATATGAAAGTAATTTGACTTAACATTGTCGATTAAAATCGACTTAAATGAAACGTTTGCTTGTCCAATAGTTTTTTTTATAACCATTGGGATAATGACATAGAATATGAGTATAGATAGAATTAATATCAACAAGGCGGTGATAACAAGGCACATAAGAATAATTTTTTTCTTTTTTCCATTTTTGTATGCTTTATATGAGGATTTAAGTTGTTTATTATTAACTTCAACTTTCGTTGGTTCAATATCCAATTCATTATAGAAAGCATAATCATCGGTTTTATAAGATTTTAATTCCGCTGGATAGGACAATGAATTATTTGGTTGTTTATTCATGACTGACATACGATGATAATTAGACCATTAACTAAAATACACTGAGAGTAAAGGAAAATATTTGCAACAGAAGAAAATAATATAACTAAAATATCTTTGACTTCTCCAGGCATCAGAACATCCACAACTCTAAGATCGAAATGACACAAGTGAAACTTCTCATTGGAGTCTTAACTTGTCAACAAGTTCTTTTTCAAGAGTAGTAGTTAATTTTGAAGAATCACTTTTTCTTAAAAAATGAATACACATTCTACCTTTTATTGTTTCCAATGAAACGTTTTACTCGAAGAAATTTATTTTTTATTTTTATTACAAATACGCACTACTATATTTTTGTCAGTTATCTCTTTTTTAACCCTCATGACTATATACATTGTCATCATCATTTCTGCACTCTCCTCAAAGAATTTAATCAGAAGTTAAATTTTTATCTTTCCAGGTGTAATAATACTTTTTGAGTTCTATTTTAGAATATATTATTTTTGTTAGTTCATCAAAGTTTAGAAGTGCAATAAAATGCATACGTAAACAACATAAGAAGATTTATTCACTATTATGTAAAAAAGCTCAAAAATATAATAAGATATCATAGAAGCATAAAGTTTCTGTTTAAAAGTAATGTGAAACACTTTTCTATGATTAATGACATTAAATGATTACACACAGTTAATATTTTATTTGAAAGACACGTAGTAGACAAATGATAACAATCGGACTAATAATTTCCGTATGCTGCTCTACTAACAAATAAATAGGATGATATCTACAACAAGATGATGATCGATATCATCGATGAAAGATGAACATTTGTTGATAAAGAAAGCAATGATATGTTTCGGAAAATTATTCTGAAATTTGTTCGAGCAGATCGACCTTGATGTGCCCCGCTTACGTTCCCTAGTCTGTGAATTCAGAAGTTTTTGAAAATGAACTTTGATACAACAGTGTATCAATTATGAAACCGACCGCAATACTGTCGACGAGAGCGTTCCGTGTCTGATAGAACATGGAAAACGGTGAATTTTGACGAAAACCACAGATATCTAACTAATGCAAGAGCCGAAATCTTTTACTTTTACAGGAAAATCATACAAAAAGTACTATTTTTCAGTTATTTTCCCCGAACTTGCAATGCTCGCCCTCACTCTTGGCCCACTCATAATTCAATAAATTTTGTTTTTGATTGCAATGGAGGCTTAAACTGTATAAAATATGCTAAAATAAAGTTTGATTCATGTGAAGTTTGAGATACAGGCTCTGAAAACACCTTGATGTCTGATATCCTCTACTCATAGAAGTTGTTCGAGATCGTACGTACATACCACAACACCATTGCCCTAGAGTTGATTCGATTTGAAATAAATCAAACAATTACTATCTGTTCAATTCAAAAAAAAAGTTAGACTTCATACTGTTCGAAATCTAGATCCCATAATTATTTCAAACTCCTCTACTTTAATCTTGCTCTTCATTGTTGATTTATATCTACTTCTTTTTATTCTGTTTAGTTTTGTTTCATAGTCCTCTTCTACAGCAGGAGCACCTAGAGCCACATACCAATCGATATCTGTTGGGTTTACTTGATGGTATAGACTGTTATCATTATTTTCATGTCTTAAATACATTCGATTTCGAAATCGTCTATCCAGTACTGTTACATTTGTAATTACACTAATATTTATTATACTTTATAATATACCACTGGGCGGTGGTCAAAAATTTTTCATTTATTTCTATATTCAATATCAACATTTTATTATGTAACATATTTATTAACGACAAGTACTATGTTTTCAAAGAGAACAACAATTTTTGACAGATTTACTGTCTATTTCATCTGTTGGCATATAATTTTTATTGTAATACTCTATTTTGTATTGGATAATTATACAAATATATTTTTACATCAATTTTGTCTTATTCTATTTTCGTCATTTAGTACTTTGTTGCTTCAGGATTTGTTCAATGCTTTACAACCAAATAGCGAATGGACAATTCTTATGTGCATTGCAGTTGCAGATATCCTCGTAAAAACTGACTTTATTTATCCGTCATCCATAGCTAACATACTTTTCGAAAGTAAGTCAATAAAGAATAGATAAAACACTATAAGTGCAGATCGGGAATACTAAGAAGTAATAGTGTTAGGGACCAGAACTCTTATCGAACGAAACGTTTTTCTTGTTTTCTCTAGTGAAATAAGTAAAACTTACAAGTTCTTAACTCGCTCAAAAATGGTAGTTAAGAGCTCATTCGTTTATGACTGATGCCTTTTCAAGATAATGAATTTGGAAGCACGCTCAGGTTCGCTCTTTGGCAGATTCCAGGAGACCAAAGCATCTAATTTCATAAGAAATAAGCTAGCTGCTCTTGCTGTAGTTCTAATTAGACTCGAAGGTATAGTCAGTCATTCAAGAGAGTTCTCCGCAGCGAACACTGTTAAACTTAGACGAACAGTAGTTTAGGTATGATAGTTTAGTATTGACGACTGTATATTTACTACGATAGTATGTAAAATTTAATTTCCAACATTTTTTCTTTTGCCCCAAAGTTAGGAAAAGCTTCTTTTAGGGTGAAAATGCGATTTTGTTTTCATTATTTTGATTTTTCACTATGAAGGAAGCGTTTCCGAACATTGTACCTAGAGAAAAGGTATTGGAAACTGAATTTCCTGTATTCTCGTCTCTAGGTTCAACTCTGAGAAATGTTTCCTTCATGACGAATAATCCTAATTACACTAATCTAATTAGACTTCTTACGAGAGAACGTTTTTAAGTGACTCCTCGCTTTTTTCAACGAAACCTAGTGGCGTATAGGTTATCGATGATGCTGATGTCGAATATGAAAACCAGCCAAAATTTTATTTACTTTACAGCTTCTTGTCTTAAGCATAGTTTGTTTGTATGTGATTTCAGTATTTGTCTTAAAATCACTAGGCTGGAGATAATTCTAACAAATATTCTAATAAAAGCAAATACTAATACAATACCCACCACTATAGCAACCAATCCACGAGCGTTTCTACTGTTACTATTAGATCTGTAAGAACTAGAACGAGTAGAGCGATGGTTATTTCTATTATTACCATAATCATTTCTCAATGCACAACAAACAACTATCAAGCTAACGAGGCCTAACAAGGCCAGAAATAATATAAAACCGCTCACATAGTAAGTCATTAATGCATTCATAGAATTTGGAAATAACTGTTTGATATGATTACCAGTCTTATCAACAAACTTTGACAAAAATGCTAGTGTAACAATAATCGCTTGTACTGGTAAAAATAGTGTTATATCACGGATAACTAATAAACGGGCTGACAAAAAGTGAAAAATTTAAAAGTAACACGGCATGCGTATTACGATGATGAGTGTTCGATCCACCTGTTATAATACTAAATATTTTCTCTCCAAATCCAGCGTAATGTGACCAAGTTCTATCTAAATCTGGACATTCATTATCAAAAAATTTTGAAATGAGAATAAATCCACTATCGGTAATATTGACAGTTTTGCGTACACGTTTTAATAATCTCAATACAAGTTTCATGACCATTCATTTCAGTAAATAAATTTTTATCGAGAGTGGCTGTTTTAAAATAAAGAACAACACGATATAAACTTCTAGCTGTTGTTCCAGCAAGAAAAATGGTTCTGTCTTTTCAATTCGATGATAAGAAATAATTACTTTTCGATTTAACTTAATTGGACTATCATTCTTAATGTCTATTACAAAATAATGAGATAATCTAAGCAAAGTATTTTTATGTTGATCGTGACTTAAACGATAATTTTTAAAATCTTCCAGTAAAACGTTTTTAAATGTCAAATTTAATATGCTGGGCACTTTTCCACTAACCTTACCGACAGTATTTTCAATGTGAAAGCCATATCGTAGGATATTGACTGTATATCTTCCACCCTCTGTCTCATACTTGAGTTCTTGGTGTGAAACTCCTTGGCTCCACGCAATATAGTGGATACACGAATCTTTTACAACTAGTTATGGATTATTTTGTTTTATTTAACTCGTTTTCAAAAGATTGAAACAAATGTTGATGAGCTAGTGATTCAGTAATTAGAAGGCAAAACTATCTTATGCATAAGAAAGAAAAAGAAGAAGAAATTATTTTATTTTATCTCTTTCCTTCTTAAAATGAGCTGCATTAGCGGTTATATTGATTAAATGAGGATATCTCCTTTTTAAATTAAACGACCTCTGCTGTGCATGCACTAAAGAGCGGTAAATCAGCTGGCTGCAACTACGCAGTGACTCCCGAAGCGCTTAAGTACCGAGGAGAAGAAGTGATCAAGCGACTTTGCGAAATTTGCAACGATGTTTACCAGCAAGTACGGGCGTCAAAGCAGTTTACAACCAACATCATCGTTCCATTGTCAAAGAAAGGAGATCTAACTGTGATGAACAACTACAGAGGTATCAGCCTAATATCGATCGCAGCCAAAGTTTACAACAAAATCCTCTTAAATAGGATACGAGACCCTATCGATAAGATTCTCAGAGGGATCCGAAGAGGAAGAAGCTGTACAGACCAAGTGCACATCGTTCGAAGACTAATCGAAAGCAAAATGGTTCGAGCAATACAAACCATATACAACCATTCAAGAAGCGCGGCATTACCCAAGAGCGAAAAAAAAACATGGAACGTGCGTTCAAAATTTTAAACCTCGTTAAACCCCCGTTCATACTGATAAAAGTTTTCAACTCTACCCGTTTTATACCCGTTCACAAATTAGGATTTAATGTAGTTAAACAACCCATTTCGTAGAAGCCATAAAATGGGCGTCCAAGAACTAGTTCCAACTATCATTTTCCATTCAAGTCAGAGGGAGTTCAACCACCCTTTCCTAAGAGGAGTCTGAACGGACGTTCGAACTAATTCCTGTTTCTCTTTTATATTTAGTAACTAGAAGGCAAAACTATCTTATGCATAAGAAAGAAAAAGAAGAAGAAATTATTTTATTTTATCTCTTTCCTTCTTAAAATGAGCTGTATTAGCGGTTATATTGATTAAATGAGGATATCTCCTAATAGTTCAAGTTTATTTTGTTTTCACTTATTGTCTGTATGACTTCAATAGAATAGAAACCTAGAACATAATATGAGCTGTCATATATAGGCTTCGATCCATTGTTCTCCGATGTAGTTAATCACAGTTATGCTAGTTTCAGTCATCTTGAGCAGCTGCTATATTTGACTTAGTTTTTCTTGTAAACGTCTTTAGTTTAGTAATGGACATGAGTTTTTTTATTGTTTAATTTTCTCACTTTGCAGAAAGGTGAAGAATACGAAGTTTTCTCCCAACGGAACAAACAGAAAAAATTCTTTTTTTCTTTTCTTTTCGATGTTGAAAAGAGAAAAAGCCCATTTATATAAGAGTAAAATGATGGCTTCGAATATTTCTCATGATAGTTAAATAAACTATGACTTTAAAAATGGATATTTTTTCTGTAAAACAAAAGCAGTGTCATTAGATCATCAATGATTTTTATCTTCCATGCTCACATTGTACGTAATCATTTTATGTGGTACATTTTGAAAAACATCTTTCAACTTTGGAAAACAAAGCACAAGGATTAATCGATAAATTCCAACTAATATAAGCTCATTTAAAGCTAATTCAAGAATACGAAGTTTTACAAAAAGAACTAAACAAATGGAAAAGAGAAATATTGAATGATATTGATTCACTTTATCTAGAAAAATTAGATAAAATTGATTTGTTTTTTAGACCATTTGAATCAAACCTTATGAGTGTTACACGAAAATTTGATTGTTTATTAGACTGTTCTTATCGTTCTCGTTATCCGTTTATCAAAGTTCTCAACGAAGATTTGTCAATATTACAGCGAAAAATCAAAGAATTTCATAAATGTATTGCTACTTTTACTCTTACTTCTTTATATACTTCACAACAAAAAGCAATGGAAAATGATGTTAAACAAGACCATGTTGAACAAAACAATTTAAATGATGATTTAGATGAAGCTTACATATTATAGGGCAATGAGTTTGGAAGAATGTTTGAAGACAGACGGTTATTTGAATGATCATAAGAGAAATAGTAAAGGTGTGCATGTGATACAGAATCTTAGCTATTTACTTACAGGATTTGCATCTAAAAGTAATAATTATGATTTAATTATCCAATATAAAACTATACTTAGTCAAACCGTATTAAATATGACATCCATCGAAATGAATCCAATGACTGGAGAAAAAGTACGAGGAAAGTTAAAACAAGCGCGAGAACAAAAAATATGGTACCGGAAGATCGAAGGTAAAACAGGTTGCACAGCATATGGGTTTTTATCTAACAACAAATTATTTAATCAGGTATAATTAGAAAAACCCAAAGTGATACAGCGCTATTAAAACAAATATTGTTTATTTGAATTAACATTTCTTGTACTTTTGAATCATAAGTTCAACTTTTACGAATACATGTCATCATTGACTTTTTTTGTAAAACAAAGTATATTTAATATAATTGAAAAACATTTTAGTAAAATTATTTTATATAAAAGCCAGCTTTCGATACTTCACAGTATCATCATCAGACTATATGACTGTCAAGGTTAAAGGAGAGATGATTGATACATACTGGATGAGAGAAAAAGTAAAACTTAACCTTCCATCTAAATTACTATCCGTTTCAAAATATAGTGTCCTCCGATGTTTCTTGAAAAACTTTTGAACAGAAAGAGATGAAGACCATCGGTTTTCGTTTTCCGGCAGTAAACACCGGGGGAGATCGATCTATTAGAAAGTCAAAATTTTCCGACAGGTCCACAGTGGGCAACTTTTGCTAGAGCAGGCAGACATGTGCGTCTAATTCAACAGTAACTTTTGATAGAAAAGAGCTAGAGAGCTCCGATTTTCGCCGTTCGAAAGAGGAGACGTGGAAGCATGTTTTCATAACCAACACTGTTTTCAGAAGAGTTTTCTGAAACAGGTTTCCTAAGAGATCTTTGAAAAACTAGGCCATCTGGAAAATTTTTCCAATAGGATTATTTTGGTTTTTTTTCATAGACTGATAGGCCGGGGTGTTCTCTTCAAAATGAAAGTGAAGTGAGACCCTGATTTTCCTCGTTTCGGGCGTTGTATAGGATTTCCTACGAGTCCCAGAACTGGCATACGGTGACTATTGGTAGCCTTGAGGCCGGATGGACTATGGGTAATCGACCATGCTGAGTCTCACGGCAATATTAGTTTTGAGAAAAAGTGTTAAAAATCAACCGAAAAGCCAGTTTTACGAAAATTAGGGTATACAGGCTGTTTTTATCTAATATTAAGAAATTCACTATTCACTCAAGAAACATCAGAATGAGTTCAAAACATCAGGATATGATTAATGTTGTCCGCTAAACGTGATTATAAGATCGAAAAAATCGGAAAAGCATATTTTTGTTAAAAGGTTTTCCAGAAGCCCTTTTGGAAAACCTTAGGGTTTTGTAAAGCTTCGTTCAAGATCTCCTATAAATAGGATATAGCATAACTTAAATAATAAATGTTTAAATACTCTACATTCTGATGTTTTGAACTCGTTCTGATGTTTCTTGAGTGAATAGTGAATTTCGTAGTATTAGATAAAAACAGCCTGTATACCCTAATTTTCGTAAAACTGGCTTTCCGGTTGATTTTTAAAATTTTTTCTCAAAACAAATATTGCCATGAGATTCAGCATGGTCGATACCCTCAAGGCTACCAATAGTCACCGGATGCCAGTCCTGGGACTCGTAGGAAACCCGATACGACCAAATTTTTCCGTCAAACTTTTTAAATAAACTCATAGACGGTTCGATGTAGCTGGCCAAGCTGATTCAGAATATCACTTTGGTTTTTGGTAATACCTTACTTTAATGGGAAAGAAATGGATTGACAACCAAAAACCAAACTTTAAAAAAAACGCAGCACAGTTCACACTAACTGGCGCTACTTGGCGCTATGGTAGAGCACACATAGAGGAATATTTGACGAAAGCTTGAGCTCAATTAGACTTTAGCTCTTTGTAGCGTTTACAAAGTACGGAATGGTGAATTTCCCGAAACATTTTTAGTATAAAAAATTTTAAAAACATTTCTGAAAAAAATTAATATTATACATCGTTCGATGCAGCTCGACGAACTGGTTCCGAATATCACTTTGGTTTTGCGCTAAAATGTTACGTTGGTCGAAAAAAGAGCGATACGAGTCAAAAACCATGGTTTTAGGAAATACCTCCAGCACAGTCCAGAACCACTGACATTAATTGGCGCTATGGTAAACGATAGAACATACATAGAGAAGTGTATGGCAAAAGTTTGAGCTCGATTTAACTTTAGTACTCTTTGTAGCGTTTACAAAATACAGAATGACGCATTTTTGTACCCAGTTTTAGCCTAGTAGATTCTTTTTTTCACTATCAATTTGAATTCAATCGAAATAATCCTTTCGTCCAAATGGAGCTCGTAGATGAACAATTTGCTTCAGATAGTTTTTCAAATCAAGTTATTCCAATAAATTCGTCAAGAAATTAACTTTATTGGTAGATAACGGTTTTCGTACAATTTTTTTAGTATATATTTTTCCAACATTCAACTTAATCTCTGAAAATGCTATTTTAGGACAAGATAGACGAAAGACAGAAGTAATTATTCCAATTTTTAAAGTTTGAAAAATAACACTTCCGTTTTATGTCCGCCTGGTTGCCCACTGTGAGGTCTACCATAGTACACCGCGCATAGGAAAAACCGAGGCATCCCCATTCCAAAAAGAGTCATAACGACGTCTCAAATATAGTGCGACATCTTCTGTTTACATCTGCACAAGTCCCAGACCTTCATCTACCACGGTTCAGAAACTGCAACAGTTCTCCGAAGACCTACCTGTCGGACGATCCTTAGCCAGGAGAATCTTAAAAGTATATGCAGACATAGGTTATCAACCATACTGAATCTTCTGGCAATGTTAGTTTTCAGAACAAAATGCAAGAGCCGAGTAAAAACCTATACTAGATGAAATAACTCGTTCTTGGTTATTTTCATCAAATTTTAAAAAAATCATAACTCGGTCGAAATTCATTCAAACTACTTGAGGATATCAAGATATCATCATCATCATGTCGACTGCAAATAACTTTGGCTTGCAGGCGTCAACAATCTTGGCTCAGTTTTCCGTGCAGCTTGCAGCTGCTCGTAACTTATCGATCGACGGCGTCGTATCACTTGCCAATATATGCCGGATATAATAGACGTGGTTTACCGTGGCATTCTTTGGGCGAATAGATGACGTACTTGTTGATCAGCTCGTCTTTTCCCCTTGGCAGACAATGGCCAACATATCTGAGTTGCCGCCGTTGGATCTGCAAAACTAGGGGATCGATTCCAATTGTTCTGTAGATTGTTTGATTTGATACCTTATCCAAGCGCTTGATGTTTAGCATAATTCTGTAGCAGCTGGTAGCGTAGCTGTTGAGGCTTTGTTCGAGCTTTCTGATGATGATCCAGCTCTCGCAGCCATAGAGGAGTATTAAGAGACATGCTGCTTGGAATATATTTGTCTTGAGACGGATGGGTATGATTTTCGAGCGGAATATGTCCTTCATTTTCCAGAAGGCGCCCCAAGCTAGTGCTTTGCGAAGGCTGACGCTCTCACTTGACAGGACCATGGAACCTAGATATTTAAAGTTTGTTGCCCATTCGATCTTCTGTCCTTCTAACTCGATATTGACGTTTTCGTGCTTCTGGTTCGTAAGTGCCTCTGTTTTCTTGACATTTACTTCCAGTCTGACTTCCCTTGCTAGTTCGGCAGTTAAAAACAGCTGCGATTGCGCTCTTTTGAGAGTTCCTTCTAATAAGGCAATGTCGTCTGCAAAGTCGAGGTCAAATATTGTTGTTGCGGTTTGGCGAGACGATTGCCTGAGGTGTCTACCAAAACCATGTTCGCCTTTGTTTTTACCCTCTTGGATTGTGTGTTTTAGTTAGGTATTCTTGAGCACATAATCGATGACGATGATGAAAATGAAGGGCGCTAATGTGTCTCCTTGTAGGACACCAGTGGTCAGGTCAAATTCTTCTGACAGCTTCCCTTCCACTACCCAACAGCAAACGAACGGGTGCCAGAACGGCGTTCCCAAAACTTAAATCGATTTCGAACTAGTTCCGTGGCCACGTGGAACGGGTTAAGGCGTTCGAACGAGTTGAAGAACTGGACCCGTTCAAAGAACTTTAGTTCATCAACCCGTTTCACATGGTCTATTAACACCCGTTCATCTACTAGTTCTCCATTACATTTTTCCATCCAAGTCAGAGAGAGTTCAACCACTCGTTCCTAAGAGCAGTTTGAACGAGCGTTCAAGAACTAGTTCTCTACTGCATTTTTTCATCCAAGTCAGAGGGAGTTCAACCAATCGTTCCACACAGCAGATTTTTCAAAACAGAGATGGTTTTTGGTTCAGATCATCAGAGATGATCTGAATCTAAAATATGGAAAGTAATCAAACTACAAGGAAGGTTACTGTACAATAAGAACTCTGTACAGAACTAAGTTATGTAAAGGACACCGCCGGATAAGTAGCGATATCTGCCACCCTACGTTTTCATATTCTGAAGACATGGTCAGATAGAACTCACTCTGGCGAACATGAATATGATGTCAGAAACGTTCAGAACCACTTAGGAAAGAAAATACGAAGCAGTTTCCGTAAGGCATTAAGTGAGATCACCAATCATCCTACGTCTTCAGTAAAATCATCCTTTCTCAATAACTAAAAGATATGTGGGGGTCGGGATTGGTCTTGATGAACTCAGAAAACATTTCTACATAAACTGAAACCAAGAAACGGTAGAATACATCAGCTTTTGCCAGAAAAAAGTTCGCCTTTTTTATGAATGCGCTCGTTGTGGGCGGGC